CCCCTTCAACATTACAGAACCCGTGTGTGCATGCGTGTTTGCGTGTGCGTATGTGTGCGTGCATGTGTGTTTGTGCGGGGGAGCGGTAGTGTAGCGGTTAGCGCTATGCTGCGCTACGAACTCGGCGACCAAGGTTCGATTCCCACTCACCGCCAACACTGGTGATGATTATCTGAACTGGTCCTGGGCCTCCCCTAGGTCGACTCAGCCTCAAATGAGTACCTGGTGCGGTGTGTAAACATCGTCACTAGGGAGACAAAGGCGGTCGGGCGTGGTGCTGGCCACCCACTCCTTCGTGTACCGTTCCGGCCTTCATAGGTGCTCGCTAACAGCACTTGCCCCTACAGTCTGTTAAGGCTATACGGGGGATGTTTGTCTTTGTGTGCGTGTGTGCATGCGTGATTGTTCTTCCTTTGGTGTTAAATCTTCAAGCTCGTGCCCGTTAGCCCGGGGTGCGGGGGGGGGGGGTGGTGGCCTTATTCAATATCCCCAGGAGAAACCACCACGGTTCAGTCTCGTTTTCCCTCTCTCTCCTGATTCTCACAGCGGGAAGGTTTAACGGGCAGTGGAAACAACGAAACAAAAACCAATACCGGCCTGGAAAGTAACAGTTGGGTTTGAGCACTGTTTAAACATAAATTTGGAATCATTGTAAAACATTTTTTATAAGTAAAACATTCCTGTTCAAGACGGTGCACGGTACATGCGTCCATAAAACAACAACAGCAGCTTTGCATTATGATACCTTTTTATCCCAGACCTTTTGGCGTTCTCCGGTCTGCCACTGGTGAGAATAGGGCCATGAGTCTGTTTCTGGTGAAGGCCAATCAGTTTCAAAGACAATGCTTTAATTTCAGAGCATGTTTGTTTCAATCTTCACCACCAGCACGTGTGCTTAATGGAGCCTTGATTCTTTGCAAGAAGGCATCTATTTGGTGTTCCAACGTCTTGACGCCCGCTTGTTTTATTGCCAGAAAGGGTAAAACCTCTTCTCATTTCTTCGCACCAGCTTGGCAATTAGTCTCGCGGGAGAGTGTCTCATGTGCAAGACTATAAATGAGACATTTACGCATTGTTCTGAACGCGCGCGGAGAGAACGGTGGGATTGCGATGCCGAGGAACGACGACGGTGATGGTGATGATGATGGTGATGATGGTGATGATGGTGGTGGTGGTACGGGGGGGGGGGGTCTCTTTAAATTGGAGCGCGCCGATGCTCGCGAGCGAAGTGCGCGGCTCGAGATGGAACGACCCGGCACCCGATTGCCACGGGGCTCAGTCCCCGAGAGCTTTGTCGTTCGCATTGTTATAATTATCGTCGTGCGCACACACAAACATATATATAATTTCGAAATATAAATAAGCCGGGTATATACACGCGCGTGCACAAAACCCATGAAAATGATACAATGCCACAGAATATAGCCCAACACACCCCTGGGGAGGGGGTGGGGGGGTTGACAAGCATTGCTTGTGTTTTTCATCGCTGATGAAATCATTCATCTCCTTTATAGGCTGCAATATACGCTGCAGTTATTCTTATTCGGAGGTGATCTGGTTTCTTTTTTTGGGTGCCTGTGGGGGGGGGGGGGTAGGATTTAGATGAGACGCCGTTAATGGGGCAGCGAGTAATGGAGAGGCGATGAGCACAATTTTACGATGGGTATATTTGTTTTTCCTTTTTCAAAAGCTCCGCACTGTTATTCCCAAATTGATTTGCGTCTTGGGGTCGTGCAGACCCTCTGGCACGCTTCAGATAATGGATTTTATTCGGTATTTTTTGTATTACACAAAATAACGTCAACTTGTGACACTGCTCCACAGCATTACGCTCTTCGCTCTCCGGGAGAGAGAGGGAGGGAGTGGCGTCCAGGAGGAGGAACCACGGACGAGCGGGTAACAAGGCAGCAGCAACAGCCACGCGGCGACGAGCCGGCGCTAATCAACAATTGCCTAAGCTCTGCGGTCCTCTATTTGCTAAGGTGTTATGGGCCAATTGGGAGCCGCGGTGACGAAATGTTAACTCCCTCGCCCCGGTATGCAGGAACTCGTGGGTTCGATCACGACACTGACGCCTGCTGTACATATGGAGTTTGGGCGTCTCTCTCTCTCCCTGTGGTCGCGTGGACTTTTCTCGGTTCCTCCAGTTTTTCCCTCCACATTTAGAAACAACATCACGCGCTTAGAGCATTTAGCTGCTGTAAATGTCCACGTGATAACCATTTTGTTGAGCTATCATTTGTGATAGCCAGGTAGCTTCTGAACAGGAGCTGTGTAGCTGAGTGGGCCTTGCCTGGTTAAAGAAAAAATAAAAACTACTGAGTACTTAATTCAAGATTCAAATCAAGATGAAACTACTGAGTGTTCACACCCGGGGGGAACCCGGAGCGCCCGGACGCCTTGCGCATAGGTACAGCATCCCCAAGGGCTGTGCAGGTCTTGTTAGAGCGGGGGGTGGTGGTGGTTAATTGATCGTACTTCACCACGCTGCTCAGTGTTGCGTCGATGAAGGTGGAAGAGCGCAACACCTGGGAAGGCCAAAGAAGCTTGGCGCAGCGTTTGGACGCTGCAGCTCGCGGCCCCTAAAGCAAAACCTCTGGTACCGCTCGCCACTCGCAGGGCCCGGCAATGCAGCTTGGCTTGGGGGAATTTGATGAGGGCGTAGAACAGGGGTGGGGCCATTTGGATATTTATAACATCATTCGCGGGCCATACAAAATGATCAACTTAAAAATTCGCCTCTTATATTTGGTCAAACATTTAATTATCTCGCCCCTAATGCGATGGCTGGAACTGCTTCTCTTTGGCGAGGCGTGTGATGTTAGCTGGTATTGATGATGTTGCTACTCGCAACTGCTTTTCCAGGTTTGCTCCGAGATTTATTGAATTTCGAGTCCCTCCTGCGGTTGCCTTGGCAGGGCCACACAAAATGATTTCACTGGGGCCTTACACGGCGTAGAAGGTGTTTTGGTGTTTGTTTGTAGATATTTTTTTAGGGGCGGGTTAATTATCCATTCGCAGTTTGCCTCTTGCTTTCATCGTGACGTCCGAGAGAGAGAGAGAGCATGGAGCACAGATGAAGCGATGCCTCGGGGCGACTCTGTAATGCCCATACCTCACGGCTACTCCCGACGGATCCCCAAATAGACCTCTCTCGGCGCAACCACGTAAAATACGATCTGTATTATAAGCTGTCTTGGTGGATTTGGGGTAATACGTATACAAAGGTCCCTTTCAAGGGTAAAGGTACAACCCAGAAACGCATTGCTCGCAAATCAGGTGCACTGCTCCTGTATTCGTGCAGCCATTGGTGATCGTACTGAGCCCAATTAAACCCGTTACATATTCGATCCAAGTTTAATCCTCGGTCAGAGATACTTCTCCATACCCGGGGTGAGAGGCGGTTTGAACCCAAGCGTCAAGCATCCTCAGCACTGGAGAGGCAAAGACGGCTGTGCTTGCATTCACTTGAACAATATGCAGCAGTAGGAGCATTGCGGTTCTTCGTGGTCCCGTTATCCGGGGATTCGGTTTATTTGGGATCAGCGGACCATGGATCGCTCTTCCAGTTATCCGGCCTCTGCGCTGAGTGTTGAGTCTATGGGCATTGTTGAGTCTATGGGCAGTGTTGAGTCTATGGGCAGTGTTGAGTCTATGGGCAGTGTTGAGTCTATGGGCAGTGTTGAGTCTATGAGCAGTGTTGAGTCTGTGGGCAGTGTTGAGTCTATGGGCAGTGTTGAGTCTATGGGCAGTGTTGAGTCTATGGGCAGTGTTGAGTCTGTGGGCAGTGTTGAGTCTATGGGCAGTGTTGAGTCTGTGGGCAGTGTTGAGTCTGTGGGCAGTTTCGATTTAAAGCTTTCGTGACTGCAGGGATTCATCTTCTTGGTTCTTTCGGTAAAGTCACGTAGAAGGGAAGTAATAAAATAATAAAAATAAAACATAATAAAACAATTCTCACGACGTTTCGGCCACAACGCAAGCAGCCGTCCTCAGGTGAAAACCAGGTCCGTCGAGGCGACAGAGTCTGAATGAAACAGCACACGAGCTTGGAGCATATATATAAGCTGGGCGCATTGACAAAGGAATTTGCATATCAAAAGGAATTTAGCATATTTATGGGAAATGCAGGAATGTGATTAGTACTGCATATGCATGTGCAATATGCAGGATTAACAGCATCAAAGGGAGCTGCAGTTACTGCTTCTGCAGAAGTTGCTGCTGCTGCTGCAGTTTCTGCTGCTGCAGTTGCTGGGCAGTGTTGAGTCTATGGGCAGTGTTGAGTCTATGGGCAGTGTTGAGTCTGTGGGCAGTGTTGAATCTATGGGCAGTGTTAAGTTTGGGCAGTGTTGAGTCTGTGGGCAGTGTTGAGTCTATGGGTAGTGTTGAGTCTATGGGCAGTGTTGAGTCTGTGGGCAGTGTTGAGTCTATGGGCAGTGTTAAGTTTGGGCAGTGTTGAGTCTGGGTAGTGATGAGTCTATAGGCAGTGTTAAGTCTGGGGAGTGTTGAGTCTATCGCAGTGTTAAGTCTGGGGAGTGTTGAGTCTATGGGCAGTGATGAGTCTATGGGCAGTGTTAAGTCTGGGCAGTGTTGAGTCTGGGCAATGTTGAGTCTGTGGGCAGTGTTGAGTCTGGGCAATGTTGAGTCTGTGGGCAGTGTTGAGTCTGGGCAATGTTGAGTCTATGGGCAGTGTTAAGTCTGGGCAGTGTTGAGTCTGGGCAGTGCATGTACGTATGTTGAAACTCTTTCGCACCGTACGTAGCCAACCGTGCTTATCGGGCAACGGGGTCCCATGCCCAACGTCCCCTCCCTCTTCACAGCCCACCCCCTGGGCCCCCACGGCCCCTGTGGACCCCGGTGCAGTTGCACCGCCTGCACACTCCACAGCTACGCCGCCGCCGCCGGCCCGCTGTTGCCGCCCGTGCCTTGTTGTTGAACGCTGCGCTCGGTCTCGATCGCGACGGCATCGTTCTTTCAGTTCCTCCTTGACGACGGCCGCACAGGTTCGGGAGGCCTGGAGTGGACTGCTTCTGCCAACACGAGAACGGCGTGGAGGTGACACAGCTGATGTTCATGGTGAACGAGGTAAGACGACCCCTGTTTTATATTTATGAGAAATGCGTGCGAGATAATTGCTCTTGGGGGTAAGGGAAGCGGGGGGGGGGGGGAATTGTAAATTCCTGAATGATATTGAGGTGTTGCAAAATATATATTTATAATCTCGTCAGGGTGACAGCGAAGTGGTAACGCTTGTGGCCGAACAGCAAGACGTCCCTGGGTTTGATTCCCGACCCAGGCGCACATTTCTGCGTGGAGTTTCCATGTTCTCGCCCTGTTCTGTAGAGAGCGAGAGCGAGTGGCATTTGTTGGTTCTCCCCCAGTTCTGCAGCGAGTGTATGTTAGTATATTCGTGTCCAAAGACAAAGATCCACCATATAGCCTTAACATACTGTTGGGGCAAGTGCTATTAGCGAGCACCTATGAAGGCCGGCATGGCACACGAGGGCCTAGGTGGCCAGCACCACGCCCGCCCACCCGCCCGCCCGTCTTTGTCTCTCCAGTGGCGATTTTTACACAATGCACCAGGTACGCAAATGAGGCCGAGTCGACCTAGGGGAAGCCCAGAACCGGTTCAGATAATCGTCGCTGGTGTTGGCCGTGAGCGAGAACCATTTCACTACAGCTCCCCACGTTCGTGCACCGACTTTAGGGCGGCCATACTCTTTCTTGGGTAAACACTCGCAACGAATAGATGAATGAATTAATAAAGCGCAAAGCTCTCAGGTGACGAGCAACGATTGCAACTGCCAGCGGTTGCGTACAGCGCGTGAATGTACATCGCCACTGCCTTGCACCAACGTTCACTCTCGTTGTTTGCGGAGCCATTCACAGCCGACCGGTTGGGCTGACCCATTCACAGTCGACCAGTTGGGCTGGCCCATTCACAGGTGACCAGTTGGGCTGACCCATTCACAGTCGACCAGTTGGGCTGGCCCATTCACAGGTGACCAGTTGGGCTGGCCCATTCACAGGTGACCAGTTGGGCTGGCCCATGTCCAGGTGACCGGTTGGGCTGACCCATTCACAGTCGACCAGTTGGGCTGGCCCATTCACAGGTGACCAGTTGGGCTGGCCCATGTCCAGGTGACCGGTTGGGCTGGCCCATTCACAGTCGACCAGTTGGGCTGGCCCATTCACAGGTGACCAGTTGGGCTGACCCATTCACAGGTGACCAGTTGGGCTGGCCCATGTCCAGGTGACCAGTTGGGCTGACCCATTCACAGTCGACCAGTTGGGCTGACCCATTCACAGGTGACCAGTTGGGCTGGCCCATGTCCAGGTGACCGGTTGGGCTGACCCATTCACAGTCGACCAGTTGGGCTGGCCCATTCACAGGTGACCAGTTGGGCTGGCCCATGTCCAGGTGACCGGTTGGGCTGACCCATTCACAGTCGACCAGTTGGGCTGACCCATTCACAGTCGACCAGTTGGGCTGGCCCATTCACAGTCGACCAGTTGGGCTGGCCCATTCAAAGTCGACCAGTTGGGCTGGCCCATTCACAGGTGACCAGTTGGGCTGGCCCATTCACAGGTGACCGGTTGGGCTGGCCCATTCACAGTCGACCAGTTGGGCTGGCCCATTCACAGGTGACCAGTTGGGCTGGCCCATTCAAAGTCGACCAGTTGGGCTGGCCCATTCACAGGTGACCAGTTGGGCTGACCCATTCACAGTCGACCAGTTGGGCTGGCCCATTCACAGGTGACCAGTTGGGCTGGCCCATTCACAGGTGACCGGTTGGCCTGACCCATTCACAGGTGACCAGTTGGGCTGGCCCATTCACAGGTGACCAGTTGGGCTGGCCCATTCACAGGTGACCGGTTGGCCTGACCCATTCACAGGTGACCAGTTGGGCTGGCCCATTCACAGGTGACCAGTTGGGCTGGCCCATTCACAGGTGACCAGTTGGCCTGACCCATTCACAGGTGACCAGTTGGGCTGGCCCATTCACAGGTGACCAGTTGGGCTGGCCCATTCACACGTTGCCAGTTGGGCTGACCCATTCACAGTCGACCAGTTGGCCTCACCCATTCACAGGTGACCGGTTGGGCTGACCCATTCACAGTCGACCGGTTGGGCTGACCCATTCACAGTCGACCGGTTGGCCTCACCCATTCACAGGTGACCAGTTGGGCTGGCCCATTCACAGTCGACCAGTTGGGCTGACCCATTCACAGTCGACCGGTTGGCCTGACCCATTCACAGGTGACCGGTTGGCCTGACCCATTCACAGGTGACCGGTTGGCCTGACCCATTCACAGGTGACCAGTTGGGCTGGCCCATTCACAGGTGAAGCGGAGGACACAACCGTGGTGTCAGGAATGTGCTCACGCGTTCGAAATACTTGAAGGTGAATTCCGCTTAAAGAAAAATATACACATATTGACGGAACAGAAAGGATAAAAAACAAAATGGTGGGTTGCATACAAAAGGGACATTTGTAATTTTTATTCAGTTTTACTTTGTTTCAAGGTTTTCTCCATTACAGTGCAATACGTGGCAGCATGGGTCATTAATAATTATAAATTGGAAATTGGCTAAAACTCAACGCGTTTGACATACGGTAATGTCCCCACGCGTTAATGGAGGCATGAATAACGAAGATTCAATGCCCACCGCTGTTCCGACTTATCAATCTTCGCTGCAAACTTGAACCCTGACACGCGGGTGGCTGCGAGCGCACATCTCTGCGCAGTTAATGAAGGGGGGCCCGCGGTGGACGGGGTGGGGGGGTTACATCCCCCCTGTCCACTGTCCCGAACCCCCCCCCCCCCCAGAAAGGAATAATCCGATAAACACAGTGGATCATAAAAGGGCATCTCTGCATCTCTGTGTCTGACAGCGCTGTTCGCGGCAACAACTGCAAAAAAAAGACATTTAATAACGGGCACTTACATTTATTTATTGCCCGATTTGTCACAGAGCCCCTGAGCAGCAGAGCCTATTTCGTCGCTTTTTAGCGAGCCGCGCCGGCCCGCAGAGGGTCGGATTTGACAGGCGGCCGCTTTGGCCCCCGTGGCGTTGAGAATAATTAGTTTGTGAGGCCAGCGTGCCCTCTTTGCCGGGATGAGCCACTTTGCCCCGTGGCAGGCGGTCCTAGTTCTCCTTGTTAGGATTGTCATAGGCGGTCCCAGCTCCCCTCGTTAGGATTGTGACAGGCTGTCCCAGCTCTCCTCGTCAGGATTGTGACAGGCGGTCCCAACTCCCCTCGCCAGGATGGTCACAGGCAGTCCCAGCTCTCCTCGTTAGGATTGTGACAGGCGGTCCCAGCTCTCCTCGTTAGGATTTTCACAGGTGGTCCCAGCTCTCCTCGTAGGATTGTGACAGGCTGTCCCAGCTCTCCTCGTTAGGATTGTGACAGGCTGTCCCAGCTCTCCTCGTCAGGATTGTCACAGGCGGTCCCAGCTCTCCTCGTCAGGATTGTGACAGGTGGTCCCAGCTCTCCTCGTTAGGATTGTCACAGGCGGTCCCAGCTCCCCTCGTTAGGATTGTGACAGGCGGTCCCAGCTCTCCTCGTCAGGACTGTCACAGGCGGTCCCAACTCCCCTCGTCAGGATTGTCACAGGCGGTCCCAGCTCTCCTCGTTAGGATTGTGACAGGCGGTCCCAGCTCTCCTCGTTAGGATTGTCACAGGCGGTCCCAGCTCTCCTCGTTAGGATTGTGACAGGCTATCCCAGCTCTCCTCGTCAGGATTGTCACAGGCGGTCCCAACTCTCCTCGTTAGGATTGTGACAGGCGGTCCCAGCTCTCCTCGTTAGGATTGTCACAGGCGGTCCCAGCTCCCCTCGTTAGGATTGTGACAGGCTGTCTCAGCTCTCCTCGTCAGGATTGTCACAAGCGGTCCCAGCTCTCCTCGTTAGGATTGTGACAGGCGGTCCCAGCTCTCCTCGTTAGGATTGTGACAGGCGGTCCCAGCTCTCCTCGTTAGGATTGTGACAGGCTGTCCCAGCTCTCCTCGTAGGATTGTCACAGGCGGTTCCAGCTCTCCTCGTTAGGATTGTGACAGGCGGTCCCAGCTCTCCTCGTTAGGATTGTCACAGGCGGTCTCAGCTCTCCTCGTTAGGATTGTCACAGGCGGTCCCAGCTCTCCTCGTTAGGATTGTCACAGGCGGTCCCAGCTCGCCTAGATAGGATTGTCACAGGTGGTCCCAGCTCCCCTCGTTAGGATTGTCACAGGTGGTCCCAGCTCTCCTCGTCAGGATTGTGACAGGCTGTCCCAGCTCTCCTCGTTAGGATTGTCACAGGTGGTCCCAGCTCCTCTCGTTAGGATTGTCACAGGTAGTCCCAGCTCCCCTCGTTAGGATTGTCATAGGTGGTCCCAGCTCTCCTCGTCAGGATTGTCACAGGCGGTCCCAGCTCTCTCGTTAGGATTGTGACAGGCGGTCCCAGCTCTCCTCGTTAGGATTGTGACAGGCGGTCCAAGCTCTCCTCGTTAGGATTGTGACAGGCTGTCCCAGCTCTCCTCGTAGGATTGTCACAGGCGGTCCTAGCTCTCCTCGTTAGGATTGTGACAGGCGGTCCCAGCTCTCCTCGTTAGGATTGTCACAGGCGGTCCCAGCTCTCCTCGTTAGGATTGTCACAGGCGGTCCCAGCTCTCCTCGTTAGGATTGTCACAGGCGGTCCCAGCTCCCCTCGTTAGGATTGTGACAGGCGGTCCCAGCTCTCCTCGTCAGGATTGTGACAGGCGGTCCCAGCTCTCCTCGTTAGAATTGTCACAGGCGGTCCCAGCTCTCCTCGTCAGGATTGTCACAGGCGGTCCCAGCTCTCCTCGTTAGGATTGTCACAGACGGTCCAAGCTCCCCTCGTTAGGATTGTGACAGGCGGTCCCAGCTCCCCTCGTTAGGATTGTCACAGGTGGTCCCAGCTCCCCTCGTTAGGATTGTCACAGGTGGTCCCAGCTCCCTCGTTAGGATTGTGACAGGCGGTCCCAGCTCCCCTCGTTAGGATTGTGACAGGCGGTCCCAGCTCCCCTCGTTAGGATTGTCACAGGCGGTCCCAGCTCTCCTCGTTAGGATTGTCACAGGCG